CACAAATATTCACAACAAAATCTTGCTGTAAAATATTAACATCTGCCACTAATGATCTTCGTAAACATACCAGTGTGCAAGTGCTGGCTTTAAGCCAGATTTTCCCATTTGTGTCTCTTTTCTTTAATGATCCTAGTGTAATGCAATACAGCTTACTGCAGGGCCCTATACAAAAAGAAAAAAAGTGCCATTAATTAGGGGTGTAGCCACCCATCATAAATCATTTCCCTGACTCACCATTATTAGGTGTGGATTCTAAACCATATAACACTAATAAGAAAGAAGTTAGCAGCTGTCAAGAGCAGACCTGCCAAAATACGGTTTATTATGAATCCTATGCGGAGTAAATTATCATGCGATCCGATTCTAGTACGGGAAAAAAAAAAGGGTCCTGCACCTTTTTGATGCGGTGCAATTTGAGCCATACATAATGTATGGCTCAAATCACACCACACACAATTTACATGTGATTCGCAAAGGAATGCAGTGCGGTTCCTGTGCGAATCACATGCGATATACCGCACCGCATTAGTGTGAATGCAGGCTTAAGGATGGTACAGAGACGTAAGGATGTATAAATGAACAAAACTGATTGGCTACTAATGCTGATATCCCTCATTCCAGTCCTTTTGCTGTTTTGCAGGGGATTGCATGATGCTATTATCAGGTAGAATCCGTTACTAACAGTTTTTTTTCTTTTTTTAGAAAGAGGTTATTATAGTTAATGTATAGCTGGATTAAGTGACTGTTGCTGATTTTAAAAATAAAAAGCTCATTCTGCCAAAGAAAAGGTATAAAGTAGTGATGCACTGATCTATTGGGCACTGCAAATTATCAGCCAAATGTAGGGTTATCTGCGTTTTGCTGATAGAAAGGAAAAACCTGCTGATAATGATAATTGATGAAAAATCGCACCCCATTGACTTCAACGCAGAATTATGTCCCATTGGCTTTAATGAAAAGTCACATCCTATTGACTTCAGTGCAAAATTGCATCCCAAAAGCCTGTATTTAATTTTTTTAATTTTTTATATATATTTTATTTTCTATCCAATTTTTGTGTGTTCATTTAAATTAAAGTTATTTTATGTTACTGGATTCTATTTTTTAAATTATTATTTAAATTCATGATATTACTTAAAAAGTCTAATATAATATTATATATAAAAAATATATTTAAAAAAAAAAAAACTGTCCATTTTTGTTTCGGTTTTCGGCAAAGTGCATCCTGAATTTTTGGTTTTAGTCCAGAATTGTCATTTCAGTGCATCACTAGTATAAAGTGTGTATACTTACCTGCTGCAGTACCCATGTTCTCTGTCTTCACTATCTTGCAGGTCAAAACCATTGGCAGAAGCTTCAGTTTCTGAAACAAACTAAGGGTTTACAATCGCTTTAAACCCTAAAATTTAAAGTGTATGTAAACTCTCACATTGAAAAACAACCCATTCAATGAAAAGCAAGACATTTGTGTATACATATAAAACCACTATAAATACCTTTTTTTTCTCCTCCCCCTTTTATATACAGCGGGTAGAATAAGTATTGAACACGTTACCATTTTTCTAGGTAAATATATTTCTAAAGTTGCTATTGACATGAAATTTTCACCACATCGGTAACAACCCATTTAATCCCTAAATACAAAGAAACCAAAACAAATAAGTTCATAAATTAATTATGTTAATTAACATTGAATGACACAGGGAAAAAGTATTGAACACGCTAACTGAAAATTATTTAATACTTCTTACAAAATCCTTTGATGGTAATGACAGCTTCAAAAGGCCTCCTGGATGGAGAAATTAGTCTCATGCATTGCTCAGGTGTGATTTTGGCCCATTCTTCCACACAAACAGTCTTCAAATATTGAAGGTTCCGTGGCCCTCTTCTATGAACTCTGATCTTTGGTACTTTCCATAGATTTTCTATTGGATTCAAGTCATGTGATTGGCTGGGCCATTCTAGCAGCTTTATTTTCTTTTTTTTAAACCGGTTGAGAGTTTCTTGGCTTTGTGCTTGGGATCATTGTCTTGCTGAAATGCCCACCCTCATTTAATCTTTATCTTTCTTGTAGATGGCAGCAGATTTTTATCAAGAATGTCTTGGTACATTTTTCTATTCATCCTTCCTTCAATGACACGAAGTTTGCCAGTACCGTATGCTGAAAAACAGACACACACCATGATGTACCACCTCCAAACTTTACTGTTGGCATGGTGCTTTTGGGGTGATGTGCAGTGCCATTTGACCTCCAAACATGGTGTGTATTATGGCATTCAAAGAGTTCAATTTTGGTCTCATCTGACCAGACTATATTCTCCCAGTATTTCACAGGCTTGCCTAAATGTTTTGCAGCAAACTTTAAACAAGTTTCAGCATGCTTTTTCTTCAGCAATGCAGTCTTGCATGTGTACATGCTGTGGGGGTTGAGTGCATTACTTATTGTTTTCTTTGAAACAATTGTACCTGCTAATTTCAGTTCTTTCACATAAGTGGTCCTTGTCACTTGGACAAATCGTCTGATAATTCTTTTCACTCATCTGTCAGTATTCTTGTGAAAAGCATCTGGTTGTGGTTGGTTTATGGTGAAATGATCCGGATTATGGCCCCAACAGTGCTCACTGGAACATTCAGAAGTTTAGAAATCCTCCCATAACCAATGCCATCAGTATATTTTGCAACAATTAGGTTGCGAAGGTCTTAAGAGAGTTCTTTGCTTTTACCCATCATGAGATGTTTCTTGTGTGACACTTTGATAATGATACACCTTTTAATAGACCATCAGTCGAGACTGAACCAGCTGATAATAATTTTCACTGACAAGGGGCAGGATTGCTTTCTAATTAGATTTCAGCTGGTATCTTGGCTTTTCACTCCTTTTTGCACCTCCCTTTTTTATGTGTTCAATACTTTTTCCCTGTGTCATTCCTTTTTATTACACTTAATTTCTGAACTTATTTGTTTTGGTTTCTTTGTAAGTATGGATTGCATGGGTTGTCACCGACGTGATGAAATTTGTCATGTCAATAGCATCTTTAGAAATATATTTACAGATAAAAATGGTGACATGTTCAGTACTTATTTTACCCTCTGTGAATGGTCACTTAATCTCTATTCTTGGCTGCATAAGGAGCTGGGTAGGAGAAACAGCAACACCCTGATCTTCTCAGTGAATGGCTGGGCAGGTCAGCACAAGTGTGAAAATTAAAGGTGAGCAGACTGAGTTCCCACCATAGGTAGAGAACTGATCACACTGTGCTCTCATGCGTAGTATGGTCAAATTTTAATTGGAAAGCAGAGTGACTGGCAGGAACACCAGGGATTTTACATAAAGTAAGCAATAAAAAGAAGACAGTATATTTTTTCTTCATAAAAGTGCATGGTACAGGCACACATCAGGAATATGAAATGCTGGGCTTACATATTTTTTTAAATACAAATTAGTGCTGCTAGCCTGAGCACTTGTCTGCTGTTTGCTGTTCTTTCAAAGGTTGCCTGTCTTCTACTTATAGCCTACCAAGGTTTGCTGCCCCAACTTTCCAGTTCTCAGCTACTCCATTTCCTTGCAAAGTCCTATGGAGCTATCTTTTCATTTGCATTTGCAGAAGAGTACTACATCCCAGCATGCAGACACTGCATGTGTGTCGGCAAGAGGATTTTTTTACAATAATGGCACAGACATGTGTAATGGCACTAGAGAGATAGCCTGAGCGTGTTTTGTGTATGATGGGGCACACTTGCACATTGGTGCTGGCACAGGCAGCCTGAGGATTTTGTCAGTGCGGGGGCACACATTTATGATGATGCTAGCACAGATGGACCAGTAGGATTTATTAATGGTGGGGCATGCATGCTCGATGGTGCTAGGAAAGATGGAACTTATAGTCATGAGGACGGGATCAGGAATCTTTCAATGACGTTCGGAGTTTGTTCACACCAACTGGGAGTTTGGGGAAGCTGCACAGAGGAACCTACAGCTAACAACTGGCTTAAAATGTGTTTCTGGACATTTTTGGAAGCAGTTATTTATTGTCCAGTGCTAAATAGGTAGGATTTAGTTTTACTTTTTTCGAGTTTTGATTAAAATAGACAGATATTCACATTATATAAGAAAATGTACTACAGCAATAATGAAACCCAGACTATTTATATTCTTTATTGCTTTATTCAGATAGAAGTATTGAAAAGTGTATTTGGTTTCTTTGTTCACCTGCCTGGTCTGTAAGTGTCTGAAATAAAAAAGAAAAAAAAAAAGTGTCTGTGCTGTTGTAAGCAAATATGCTTTTTTTTTTTTTTTCCCTCAGCAACTGTTTAGGACGATTCCACCCTGCCATTTTAAAGCAAGCCGATTATCGTGAAAGGCGGATTGATTACTACAGAGACACACATATAATTCTCCTTTTAGAATATATCTCAGAACTCTGTTTATTCTCAGTATTAGAAACTTTCTGTCCTTTTCATGACTGCAGGTTGTTAAGAGGTTCCGAGAAAGGTTAAAGAGTTCAGATCAACCAACCTTGGTGGTCCAAACGTTTTTTTATTTGTAGCAATTGACTATATTTTTGTTTCTGCTGTTACTGTCAAGCAAATGTTACATTGTTTTAGGCTGTTTTTTGGCTTTCACACATGGTAGCAAAGGAAATAGGGTTGTCGTGTGGAAAAAAGAATGCATACTTTTTTTTTTTTTTTTTTTTTTTTTTTTTTTTTCCATATGTGTGTGTAATTCACTTAGTCTTTGTAATTCAAATTTTAGACACTTGCCAACATATGAACACACTAGAAAAGTATGTGGTTCCATCTCAGAAAGGCATTAGGCATTCATCGCAGTGGCCAGATTAGGAGAGCCACTTTCGTGAAGGATTCTTTGTCTCTTCGTTATATAAATTGTATTTTCATTAGTCTGTGCTGCCTAATTTGGCCCAGCATAAAAACATCTCTTGACTGGAACTGAATACCTAAGACACATGGTAGATAATGTCATTTCGGTGGTAATGATTGTGGCTGTGGGATTGGTGCAGAATCTGAATGTTTGCCTTGTTTCTGGAGCCAGTGAAAATGTAAGTTTGGCAAATGAGGACACCAATATGGCACAGAGAGTTTCAGGAGAATATTTATGTGGAACTAGGAAAGGATTCTGTTTTTTACTAGGCTGGTCATCCTTTTTTTAAGGCAATACTTCCTGCTAATCTTTACAAATGTGCAGGTGGGCTGTTTTTCATGTCATGTTTTGCTGCAGCCACATCATTATTAAAGGAAAAATATAGCCAAAGCTTTTTTGGCTACACTTCTATGGATCACAGGTCGGCTGAAATCACAAAGCCTGTACAGGCTCTGAAAAGATCCCTGGCTTGAGGCAGTCGCTCCTGCCCCCTGCACAGCCCAGCGTTCTAGTGAGCATTCGAGGGGCAGAGCAGAGAGCCGAGGACTGACAGTTAAGGCTCTCTGCTCAGAGCAGAGGGGAGAACTGAGTGATCATCGGTGTCTGATCACTCAGTTCTTACTGCAGAGCCAACGGATGACAGATGCAGCAATCGATCCATCCACCTAAGTGAGTATGTTTGTTTTGTTTTTTTTTGTTTGTTTTTTTTAAGCCCATACTTCTCTGGCTGCCTTGGGGAAATATGTAGGCAGAATACATGTCTGAGTTTTACTTAATTTTAGCCACTTAAAATTTTCTCTACAGCAGGTAGGTGAACTGAAGGACATCAATAAAAGGTAGGGGCCAATCAGACCTAATTCACCTGTGCTAGCAAGGGACATGTCGACAGGGGTAGTAAGCAAAACAATTACCTCCTCAATCTGTTGCTGCTTTGCTGTCCAGTGACTGAGATAACCTAGCTCTGTTGCTTATTGGCAACAGAGAAAAGTCAGGTCACCAGGCTTGCTGTGCTGTGTGGCAAGGCTGTGTAAATCTCAGGACTGATTAAAAAAAAATTTAAATTCTTTGGCAGGTGAAATCTGTGTATTTCAACTTTTATATTTAGCCATTGGCCTCAGCTTAAAGTAGATTAAAATCAAGATATTTTCTCGGTAGGTATTTAACGTGAAAATTTAAAAATCAAAGTGAAATAAACTGATTTATGTTTTTTGTTTCCTCATATCTTTTACTGACTATATCTGATATTAGCATTTCCTTTTTCATTTGGATGGGAAATTAAGCACTTCACTACCATCATACATTTCAGAACTGTGGAGTGGTGGTTATGTATTTCTGCAGTGCCATTTATAAATACTGGCCTGTGAACCACTGTGATCTGAGCAATCATTAGACTGTTCATATAGCAGGTATGCAAAGCCTTTTCCCTCTATGTATAACCTGTCTGATGTGCTGTCTCTGGTGCACCATGTCATAGCTTACTTCTGCTGAACTACTTCAATGCCAGCATGTTTCTTCATTTTCAAAAAATTATGGAAAAAAATAATCACCTTGGCACATCTGCTGTCCAAAAAATGGATCATTTTGGGGGGTTCATATTGTCCTGGCATGTCAACAGAAAATAGGGGAACAGCTTTTTTTGCACTTTTTTTTCCTTCATATACTAGAAAAAAAAATAAAACCCAGTGGTTATTAAATACCACTAAAAGAAAGCTCTGTCTGCCTCAAAATGATATAGACTTCATTTGGATACAATGTTTTATTACTGAATAATTGTTGTTCAAACAAGTGGTTAAAGTACACTTGTGTATTGGAGAAACCACTGAATAGTGCATACCATAAGGCAGTGTTTTTCAACCTTTTTTGTGCAAAGGCACACTTTTTTCATGAAAAAAATCACGAGGCACACCACCATTAGAAAATGTTAAAAAAATTTACCTCTGTGCCTATATTGACCATATAGTAATTCATCCCCCATAGTAATTCATCCCCCATAGTAATTAATCCCCCATATAGTAATTCATCCCCCATAGAAATTAATCCCCCATATAGTAATTCATCCCCCATAGTAATTCATCCCCCATATAGTAATTCATCCCCCATAGTAATTCATCCCCCATAGTAAGTCATCCCCCATACAGTAATTTAATCCCCCATAGTAATTCATCCCCCATATAGTAATTCATCCCCCATATAGTAATTCATCCCCCATAGTAATTCATCCCCCATAGTAATTCACCCCCCATATAGTAATTCATCCCCCCTATAGTAATTCATCCCCCATATAGTAATTCATCCCCCATATAGTAATTCATCCCCCATAGTAATTCATCCCCCCTATAGTAATTAATCCCCCATATAGTAATTCATCCCCCATAGTAATTCATCCCCCATATAGTAATTCATCCCCCATATAGTAATTCATCCCCCATAGTAATTCATCCCCCCTATAGTAATTCATCCCCCATATAGTAATTCATCCCCCATAGTAATTCATCCCCCATATAGTAATTCATCCCCCATAGTAATTCATCCCCCATATTAATTCATCCCCCATATTAAGTCCCCAAGCCCCCCCTGTGTCAATTCACTTACCTTTGCTCCGCGCGTTCCTCTCGCCGTTCCGGTGTAGCATGAAAATCTGTCTCCTATGAGGATCTGTCCCCCTCGACGTATCTGCGCATGTGCCAGTTTCAGGCATTAGCAGCCGATCGGCGATCTCCGGCACATGCGCAGATACGTCGAGGGGGACAGATCATCCTGACAGTATCGCGCTCCGCGGGCCGGATTAAAAGGTCCGCCGGGCCGTATACGGCCCGCGGGCCGTAGTTTGCCCATTGCTGTTCTAATGATTGGTCTATTTGTGAGCCGAGGCCACATATTACGGATGAAATTGCAATTTTTCCCACGGCACACCAGACAATATCTCACGGCACACTAGTGTGCCGCGGCACAGTGGTTGAAAAACGCTGCCATAAGGTGCCAAATCATAGTTTTTTAAATCCATCTTGCTGGTAGTACTGCTAGAGGCACCTAAAGTATTTTTCTCTAATGCTTGGTGCACTCTGTGCGTTCTGGTTGCGGGTGCAGGAATCACATCGGTTCCTGCACCCACAGCCAAATCCCAGTGGTCTTAGGAGACACACAAGGCTGTCATTCACTCTGAATGGAATTCCCATGCATCTCAGCCCACAGTGCGATTGCGGGTGTAGGAACTGTAGGGAAACTGCATATTCAAAAAGACCATGCGGTTTCCCTGCGGGCGCGTTTCCAAAAAGGTGCATACACCTTTTTTTGTGTAGAAAGGCGCCTACAGCAGCCTATTCAAATAAATGGGCTGCCATGCCTAAGCAAAGCTGGACCGCATGTTCAGCAATAGTGTGAACCAGGGCTAAATTGTCACTTTTAAAACTCAGTATTTGCATATTTTGTTTTTTTTTAAACACTATGCCCCCCTATCCCCCTCACACCACCACCTTACTGCTCAGATGTGCTATGTAGTATGATTGGGGTGATGCCTAATCAAACCATGGTATGGAGTCAAGATAAAATGGGGGGGGGGGGCTTGTACAGCTCTTTATGGGGATAACTGTACAGATGTATATTGTGGCATCTCATGGTACCTTCTATTCAGAATGTTGATGCAGTTTTCTACACTGGTTACCTATGCATACATATTGTTCATTGTATTTATTAAAAGGTTATATAATACAAATAAAAGTAATAAACCAGTATGCATATATATAATGTTGTGCTAAACATCACATAACGGAAAGGGCCATTTTTCAAAAAGTGCATTCTAAAGGAATGAAGGCCCGATTGATAGAGCCTCAATGTGTATATTAACAAATGTAAACCAAATAGCCTCATAATGGATAAGTCAAGATACTGCTACTCAGTGAGAAAATGTTATCTATATAGCAAATTATAAAATAATATGGCCAGAGTAAATTCACTGCAGAGTATATGTAAAATCAATGTAAGCATATGTCAAATTCATAAAATTTTTCTCTGAAAAAAAAAAAAAGAACAAATAGCCCTAAACAGTGGTACAAGTCTTTAGAACAGAGCAACCATAAAGGAAGAAAAGTAAGAGAAGAGTAAGGGGAAATTAGAATAGAAAGAAGTGAGAGAAGGAAGTGGGTAAGGGTAATACCCCATGCCTGGGACCACAACTCTTTATGCCTACGAAAGGATTCGAGAGATGTAATGCTCTCTGGTCAAGTTTGGGAAAATTTATCCAAAGGGTCCATATTTTCAAAAATTGACTATGTCCTCCGAAATGGCAGCCAATTTTTTATTGATCATTGTATCATTTAGGAAGTTTTTAACTTCCTGGAAACTCAACGTAGATGATCTCTAGGAGCAATACTTTGGTGGCATTAAATAAAGAAGCCAATTAATTTGGTCATTTTGCGATGTGGTCCTCAACTGGATTCTTACGTAGGTTACTATCATGAACTATACATATTAGGAAGTGCACTCTAATCCACAGTCTCTGTGCTTTAGGGCACGCCCACCATATATGTAATATAGTTCACCCCTGCAATACCCTATATTACTTGTAGCGCCGCTCAAAGTGCTCTGGTAAAGCCGGTGCAGACTGTCTTATGCTTAATCCAGAAAGCAGGGAAGTATGAGGGATGAGAGATGCCACATACCACTAGCTCAACAAGTGAAGTGATTAAGGTGAGGAGTCTATGATTAAGCCCTGATGGGTGGGGCAAAATGCATCAGAGGCGGGGCTCAGGAGGAGCTCATGGCTGAGGCCATTCACATTTCTCTTCATCTGTTGAGCTAGTGGTGTGCAGCATCTCTCATCCCCTCATAGTTCCCTCCTGCCTATTACCTCAAAGGCAAAGGGGGGAATACTGAGGAACAAAATCTGAGGGAGTTAAATACTTCTGCATCAAAACTTACCCCTTCCTGATGTTTCCAGGCTATATTTTTGGATAGTACGGCGCTTCGTTATCTTTAGCTGACAATTTTAGGGTCATGCAACATTGCACCCAAATAAAATTTATGTCCTTTAGCTGACAATTTTTTTTTCGCCACAAGTAGAGCTTTTTTCATTAATATTTGATCGCCTCAGCAGTTTTTATTTTTTGCGCTATAAACAAAGACCAATAAATTTGAAAAAAAAAATATTTTTTACTTTTTGCTATAAAACATATCCAGTAAAAAATGTAAATCAAATTTTGTTATAAATTTAGGCCAAAATGTATTCTGCTACATGTTTTTGCTAAAAAAAAAAATCACAATACATGTAAATTAATTAGTTTACATGAACGTTATAGCATCTACAAATGCCAGTATATATATTGGATTATTATTATTTTTTTTTTTATACTAGTAATGGCGGCGATCAGCGACTTATAGCGGGACTGCAGCGGGTATTCTGACACTGGGGGGGGGGGGACTGAGTAACTACCACTGACATCCCAATGACATTAATACAGTGATCAGTGCTAATGACACTGGGCAGGAAGGGGTTAACTTCTTGGGCGATCAAAGGGTTAACTGTGTGCTGTTTTACTGTGTGTGCGGTGTGTGTTTTACTAGGGAAACATGCTGCTTTGTATTGCTTTGCTACCCGGAGATGCAAAATCACATATATAAGTTTTTTTGCGGAGCCCTGCTACCCTGTAGCAGTAGTTTTGCTATAGGGTGGCGAGGAAACGGTTAATACATACAAGCACATTATAAATACCTTCCCCCACTTTTTTTATAATTGATTACATACCCTCTGTAATCTAATCTGCATAAGGTGATCAAAGAGCTGTGAGAGGAGAAACAGCAGCTCACTCATCTTCCCAGTGAATGGCTGGGAGAAGGGGCGTGTCAGTCTGATCATTGGAGGAGAACAGGCTGAGTTCTCAGCACAACCACAAAACTGACTACGCTGTGCTCTCCTGCCTAATGTTGTCAGATTTTAATAGGTAACTAGATATTTCAAACAAAGTAAGCCATGCAAAGAGAACAGGATACTTTTTCATGCAAACACGTGGTACAGCCGACACTTGTATGTATAAAATGTTGGGTTTACATTTTTTTTAAACCACTGTTTCCCACTTGAATTTCATTGATCTGTTTTAGGTGGAATTGCACCTCAAGTCACAGCAACAATTAATTGTATCAGACTGACATCTGTGAAGTTATCTTCTAACACACTGAGTTTTGATACAAAAAAATAATTCTTATTTACTGTTTATGCGCAGGCAATTGAAAAGTTACAAGCTGGGGATCTTGCAACAGATGCTGTCACAGCAGCTCTTGTGGAATTGGAGGTACAGTATGCGTGAACATAAGAGAAACAACTGTTGCTGCAAAACTGTGTATAAAAGTGCTAAATATAGAAAAAGAGCAAACCATTCAGGATGCAAGGCTATATAAAAATACAAAAAGACAAAAAAAACATCTAGGACGTATCAATGCACTCAGCTGCTTTCTACAGTTCCTTAATAATACTTCAATAATCCAGTGAATTGTACCATGTGATTAAGGAAGCTCAATGGGAACTTTAATATTAAAGAAAATGTTAAATTATCTACTAGTTTCTTAGAACCTATGTAATAGTGTATAGCATTTTTTCCCTTATATCCCAGTGTTCAGTGCTGGTGTTCTTAGTATTCATCTGTGGCATTGTTGTATGCAGGGGAGTTTTGGGTGTAAAATCTCCATTTTTAAAGCAAATCTATTTTTTTGGGCCATTCAAGGCAAAGCAACAGATTTGCTTTGGCCTCTCATTTATTACCAACAGCAAATACTACATGTTCTTCGCCCATCAGCGACTTCATTCAGTATGGGTATTTGAACATGAATTGCTAGACAGTGCAGCTGCAAGGGTTAGGAAGGGCTTCTTTCAAAGCTCTTTTACCGCTTCTTGAAATATGCAAAACCTCAATATTCATAGCTTGGCCAAGGAGCAACTTTAAAGCCTGTCCTACTTTTGGGTGTCTCCATGCTTTTTGACTGTTTTGATGGCAGCACAACAAGAATAGGTTAATAGGAATATTATAGTAAAGCAGTCTTTAGTAAAGCCTGCCAAAAGGTGACTGCTGGTACCTTTCAAACTCTTCAGTTTTAATTTTGGTATACCCTGTAACCCTGCTTCTCAGGTTCTTAGTAAGCTCATCACTTGGACTTGGATTTCTGCTCTGCCTGAGTTTGTCTGGTCCTTTTGCAGATCTAAGCCTCTCATCCAACTCTTCAATGATTCTCTTGGCTGGTAAGGCTTTGCTTTTGTATTGTGGTATGGTGGACTTACCTTCAAGTTACAGCACCTACTTTAAAGGAACTTTTATATACATTTTCCACAACCTGAGAAATAAATTACCTGGGAGTGAAACTTACCCCTTCACAGAAAAATCTTTATGAAGCAAATTATATCCCATTGTTAAACAAAATTAGGGAGGAACTGAAGAAAATGGGTGGAGGAAACCCTTCCTGGTTAGGGCGTATTAATTTGATAAAAATGGTAATTGTTCCCAAGATCCTGTATAAATTTCAGATGATTCCCATTAAACTCCCAGAGCTGTGTTTTAGGATAATTAAAAGAATGGTAACAAGATATATATGGAAAAATAAAAAACCTAGAATAGCTTATGAAGTGCTAAGTAGAAACAAAGAGAAAGGTGGAGTGGGAGTACCGGATCTCAGAAGATATTACAGGGCAGTTATCCTAGCAAGAATCTTTGATTGGATGCAAAGGGTAAAAATTGGGTCACAATAGAAAATACACTTAGTGGAAAGGATTTGAGTAGGATTGTTTGGGTGTCAACACAGTTTAGAGAATTAGCAGAGAGCACGAGTCCATATACTTCGGTTGTATTAAGGGAGTGGGATAGAATGCACAAACAGAGGAATTGGGTCTTTAATTCACTGCTAATGCCATTAAGAAATTCATAGTTTTTTTCCCCAGGTAAAGAGGAAATTACAGGAAAATGGATTAAGAAGGAAGATGCTCAGCTGAGAGATGTAATGGAGGGGGTAAATTTAAGGACACTGGAGGATTTGAAAAGGGAAGAGGGAAAGATTTTCACTAAGATAGGTATATGCAGGTATAATCAATTGAAACAATTTGTGGGTAAATTGATGAAGCCTCTTAGAACTAGAGAAGATTGGAATTTATTTGAGAAGTATTTGGAAGTTTGAGGTGATGGGAAGCATGGCACTGGAAAAGTATATAAAATCCTCACTGATTTAGATAAGTTAAAATTAAGATATATAGAAAAATGGGAAAGGGATTTAGGGGTGGAGTGGGAGGAGCACACACAAAGGAAAAATATATAGACTGGTACATGAGAATGTCAGTATCCGTGATGTGGAAATGAACTACAAATGTTTGATAAGGTGGTATGTTACACCGACGGTAGAGCACAAGATGAGTGGGGAGAAACAACCTTGGTGTTGGCGAGGGTGTGGAGGGTTGGCACGATGTTTCACATATGGTGGGAATGTTCAAAAATACAAGTACTTTGGAGAAAAGCTATAAATTAAATTAGGATTATTACTGGAACTGAGATTGGATTGGACCCTGAAACTTGTCTTTTTCATAATACAAAAATATCGGTGAATAAATATAAAGAACTGGGTATATTGTGCTATTTAAACGCAGCAAAAGGTTTGATACCTAGGTTTTGGCGTAAAGTTGAGGCGCCGGAGGAAGAGGATTGGAGGAATAGAGTGGATCAGATTGCTAGATTGGAGAAACTATACTACATACAGGAAGATAGGATGGAGGAATATTATATGAAATGGGAGGAGTTTAAAACAAAGAGGAAATAAGTAAATTTGTAATTAAATACAAAAAAAAGAAAATATATAGTACTTTATCTTCTTTCTTTTAAATCTTTGTACCCAGAGGATGTGAGATAAAAGTTGTTCAGATAGATGTCAGGGGTCCATTGAAGAGGGTTGGGGGGGAGGGTGGGAAGTGGGTTAAGGGGAGGAAAATGATATGAAATAAGTGGTTTTATGAGAATGTTTTTTTGTTGTATTGCTATATTGGATTTTGTATTGTCATATTTGAAAAATAAATAAATATTTAAATGCTAAAAAAAAAAAAAAAATTTCCACAACCTAATATTTATATATTTGTTATTTTTTTCAGGTACTTATATAGCGCCATCCATTTACGCATATATATATATATATATATATATATATATACATACAGTGAAGGAAATAAGTATTTGATACCCTGCTGATTTTGAATGTTTGCCCACTCACAAAGAAATGATCAGTCTCTAAAAATCGAATGGTAGGTGTATTGTAACACTGGGAGACAGAATAGCAACAAAAAATTCAAAAGAAATGCATGTGTAACAAATTATGCACTGATTTGCATGTTCATGAGGGAAATAAGTATTTGATCCCCTGCACAAAACTTGACTTAGTACCTGGTGGCAAATCATTACGGTTTGGTGGCTGATGTTTGGCAACTCAAACTTTCAGCTCCCTCCACAGATTTTCAATTGGATTAAGGTCTGGAGACTGGCTAGGCCACTCCAGGACCTTAATATGCTTCTTCTTGAGCCACTCCTTTGTTGCCTTGGCCATGTGCTTTGGGTCATTGTCATGCTGGAACACCCATCCACGACCCATTTTCAATGCCCTGGCTGAGGGAAGAAGGTTCTCATCCAAGATTTGATGGTACATTGCCCCATCCATCAACCCTTTGATGCAGTGCAGTTGTCCTGTCCCCTTAGCAGAAAAACCTCCCCAAAGCAGAATGTTTCCAGCACCATGTTTGACAGTTGGGATTGTGTTCTTGGGGTCATAGGCAGCATTCCTCCTCCTCCCCCAAACATGGCAAGTTGAGTTGATGCCAAAGAGCTCGATTTTTGGTCTCATCTGACCAGAACACTTTCAACCAGTCCTCCTCTGCATCATTCAGATGTTCAGTGGCAAACTTCAGACAGGCCTGGACATGTGCTTTCTTGAGCGAGAGGGTCCTTGCAGGCACTGCAGGATTTCAATCCTTGTTTGCATAGTGTGTTACCAGTTGTTTTCGTCGTGACTGTGGTCCCAGCTGCCTGGAGATCGACAAGATCCTCATGTGTATTTCTGGGATGATTCCTCACTGTTCTCATGATCATTGACACTCCACGAGGTGAGATCTTGCATGGTACACCAGACCTAGGGAGACTGACAGTTGTTTTGTGTTTCTCCCATTCGCGAATGATTGCACCAACTGTTGTCACCTTCTCACCAAGCTGCATGGCAATAGTTTGGTAGCCCAGTCCAGCCTTGTGTAGGTCTACACTCTTGTCTCTGACATCCTTGGACAGCTCTTTGGTCTTTGCCATGGTGGAGAGTTTGCAATCTGATTGTTTGATTGATTGCTCCTGTGGACAGGTGTCTTTTATACAGGTAACAATGAGATTAGCAGAACTCCCTTTAAGAGACTGCTTCTAATCTCAGCTTGTTATCTGTATGAAAGATACCTAGTAGCAGAAATTCTGCTGAATGATAGGGGATCAAATACTTATTTCCCTCATGAACATGCAAATCAGTGCATAATTAGTTAGACACGCATTTCTTTTGAATTTTTTGTTGCTTTCCTGTCTCTGTGTTACATTACGCCTACCATTCGATTTTTAGAATGATAATTTCTTTGTGAGTGGGCAAACATTCAAAATCAGCAGGGGATCAAATACTTATTTCCTTCACTATGTATATATGTGTGTATGTATGTGTGTGCGTGTATGTATGTATATATATATATATATATGTATATATATATATATATATATGTATATATATATATATATATATATATATATATATATATATATATATATATATACACACAGTATATATATGTACATTCACTTCAGTCCCTACCCCTCAAGGGGCGTACAATCTAAGGTCCCTAACTTACATTCATACATGCACTTCCTAGGGCCAATTTAGACAGGAGCCAATTAACCTACCATCATGTATTTGGAGTGTGGGAGGAAACCAGAGTACCTAACAGCACTCATTTCAGGTTTTGGATTTTGAATGGCTTACTTGGTCAACCAGTTATGAACTTTATTATTGTCTGATCTAACTGTGTTTTTCTTTTCCCCCCTCTATATAGGATTCTCCATTTACAAATGCAGGAATGGGATCAAACTTGAATCTCCTGGGAGAAGTAGAATGTGATGCCAGTATAATGGATGGAAAAACTCTAAGTTTTGGAGCAGTTGGATCTCTGAGTGGTATGCTCCATATACAGTAACAGTTTCTTATGCCTCTCCTACCTTGTGGTAAGATCTGCGCACATGAATTACCAAGTCTGCACACCATCTTCATCATTTATGAAGTGGTCTCAGACTTCCCACTGAATATGTAGTTTATTATTTGGGTGAAAAAAGAGGAGGTAAATACCACTGTTGTAGTAAAAAGTATGACAGGGAAAAAAATATTTTATAAATCCTACATCACAGAACACAGAGGAGTTAATACTCATGACTACTTGGGTTATGATGCCACCTTCAGGAGAATGGACACTTGCCACAAAATGCCAGAATCCCTGCCTAGATCTAACCCTCCCAGCTCCTTAGTTTTGTGCTAGAGTTCCTAGGTGATGGATATGCCTCCCTATGTCTTTCTGGAGATGTCTCTCGTGCCCTTTGTTCCAAAAACTTCTGGCCTGTTCCCTGCACTGCTGATGGGGCAAAGGTGGACTCTATCTAGATTAGTCTCTGTGGCCAGTAGGCCAAGAGAGATCATACTCAGATACTGCATACAAGTGTGATGGTGGCCTGTAATGTCTGTCAGTCAGCAATGGATCCTGCGGACAACATTTTATGGCCTATAGTGTACCTGATGACCTTGCTGGTAGGCTACTACACAGGTCCAGGACAATGATCCTCCTCAATGGAAATCATGCACCTAAAGTCCCTGTGGGGCACTCCCGCTGTGATGAGTGAAGACTGGGCATGCTGACCAGCTATGAAAATAACCAAAAAAAACCAACCTGCGCAGTAAATGAAAGAATCCCCCCAAATGTTTTTTTTACCTTTACCTTAAACCAGGAGTTCTCAACTTTTTGAAGCACGAGAACCACTTAAGTGATTTGGTAACCAATCATGGGCCACAATGAAATGGTTCAGAAATTCCAATGTCTTTTTTTTTTTTTTTTTTAATAGCATAATGAACATCTTCCTCCTGCAGTCACTGAATGCTGGCGGGAGGGAGAGGAGGAGGAATCTGGCATTCATTGGTTTCAGGTGGAAAATGGAGAGGATCAGTTCCTATATATGCTGCTCCTCCTGTCCAAGTGTAAAACAGAATGTAACAGGGAGGCCACATGGGCCCTTGGAGCATGGGTTGGGGTCGCCATTGCGAACCCAATGCTGAGCCAGTGGTTGGGGGTGTGTGGTAAAAACACGTCTCGGCTATGGGGTTTTGTCGCCCCACCCCCTTCCCCAATCTGCAAATGTAAACAAACCCTTGCTGTCTTGAACCCCCTATAAAGCTATTTTCATACTGGTGTACTGGGGTTTACCGACACCGTGGGTGCAGCGCAGTCTTTGTCATAGACTTCTAGTATATCTAATTGTCAGACAGTATTTTCTGATAACATTCTGCATTCATCTTGCCATCAATTTTCACAAGATTCTCTTTGTCTTTCGAGGTCACCCTCCCCTCCCCCCAAAAACATCAGTGAGCCACCACCGTGCTTCACAGTGGGGATGGTATTCTTGTTGTTATAGGCCTTGTTGACCCCTCTCCAAACATAGTGCTTATGGTTGTGACCTCAAAGCTCTATTTTGGTCTTGTCACTCCAAATTACAGTGTGCCAGAAACTGTGAGGTGTGTCAAGGGGTTGTTGGGCATATTGTAACTGGGTTTTTTTTATGGCATTGATGCACTAAATGTGTTTTTTCTTTCAGCTCAACCATGCAGCTAATTTTTGTTCAAGTATCGTCATTTTGTGCTCCTTGAAACAACCACGCTATCTTTTTCCAGTGCAGCCTGTGTTTCTCCTGAGGTTATCTGTGTTTTTTGCTTTTTTATTTTAAACAATTTTTCTGGCAATTGTGGCTGTAATCTTTCTTGGTCTGCCTGACCTTGGCTTGGTATCAAGAGATCCCCAAATTTTCCACTTCTTAATAAGTGATTGAAAAGTATTGACTGGCAAATTCAAGGAAATGGATATCTTTTTATATCCATTTCTATGTTTAGAAAGTTCCATTACCTTGTTACGCAGGTCTTTTGACAGTTCTTTTCTGTTCCCCATGGCTCAGTATCTAGCCTGCTCAGTGCATCTACGTGAGAGCTAAAAACTCATTGTTTATACACCAGGGTGTATAAATAGTCTGCCAGGGTATGCAAACTTTTGAACACAACTGTAGATGCTAATTTTCCCAATACAAAAGAGCAGTGTATGTGTTATGTAATACATTGACCTTCTTTTCCTCTTCCAACTTCTGCTGGCATTGCCCTCCAGGCTGCTAGAAAGGTCCCAGACAAAGTGCAGAGCAGCTGATGCTACAGAGGAAGCATTGGCTTATGTGGCATCTGCTCCCTTCATGGCTGACTGCTCTGCCGGCGCTAGCTCAATGCACTCTGATGCTCTGGGATTAGGGGGTGGGCAAGCCCAGATCGCAATCAACAGGGCACTGACCCCGGGCATGCCCTTTCTGGTTTGAGGTTGTGGGCCACATGAGAGGGCTCCGCGGGCCATGGGTTGATCACCTCTGCCTTCAAACCTATAACCAAACACCAGTGCAATGCTACCCAATTATCAATCAACAGTCAATTCCTAACTACTATCAATATATAAATAAGTGATTATCAAAATACAGTTTCACAATATTGTACAATAACCATAACAAATGTATACTGAAATACACATCAGTGCATACAATGAATATGCACCAAATATTCATACTGTACATACACAAAACAATGTGATAAAATATGAAAGAAGAGTGAAGAAGTCCCAGTCCAATAATGAGATCAATGCACTTCTTCTTTATATTTCACACACCAAAGGTGTTCATGCTTCACTCATTGCAACTCAAAATTGCTCACCTTTTACAAATTGACCTCTACATAATCTCATACAAAAAGAAAAGAGCTATCTTAATTTTATAAGCTTTTACAGACTCACTTAAAAGAAAGAATATATCCCAAATGACCTCACCCAGAAAAGTTGTTTCCACCTCTGAAGCATTTTGCTCACTTTTACCCCATGGTGGAGACATTCTAAAAGAATTGCAGTTCTCGGGCAGCTGACTCGACTGTTTCCTACTTAAATAATACCTTAGCAGCCCTTGTTTTTAAGGTCCTGGTCTTTAGAGATGCCATAGAGAGAAGGTCAGTCCTCCTTTAGGCGTCATCTTCTCTAGTAGAAGTGGCTCGACAACGTGCGATAATTATTGTTGGAGTATGCAAAGCCCTTAAGGAAGTCGCAGACATCTGGCTTTGCAGAATGGTATCCAGAGTTTACAAACTTGAATTTCGGTGCTGTCCCCCTCCACTCTTTATACACTCAAGGGTGTCTTTAGAGCCATAAAAAAAAGAGGTTTTCTTTTCTGCCTTGGAAAGACTGTTGTCCCAAAGGGTTACTGCTTCTGTCAGCAAAAGAGAGGTCTTACAGCTTTTATTCCAACCCGTTCACTGTCCCCCAGCCAAACGAAGGCAATGCAGCCTATTCTGGACCTCAAGGCTCTCAAGTTCCTGAAAGTTCAGAAATTCAGGATGGAATCCACCTGGCCAGTGACTGCTTTGCTTCATCAGGGGGACTTTCTGGTATCTGTGGATATTAAAGTGTTAGTAAACCCAGGACCCTGCATTCACTGTCTGGTTCCCCACAGTACACACTACATGGAAATGCAATTATTTTAGTAAATATAAACTGCTAAATACCTTTTCTCATCAGCAGTTAGAGCAGTCTTGTAACTTCTATCAGTGTGCAGCAGAGCACTGGATAAAGCTTGTAGGAAGAGTTTTTTTTTTTTTTTCTCTAGAAGGATGCAGACCCCCTGACCTCTGTCTGGACAGTGCTAATTGGCCCTGTACTGATCACATGCACTCTCTAGCAATACACACCAGACTGAGCATGTGCAGTGTGTCTCCACACGATATGTCTTATCAGGTGATACGAGGGAGACACCGGAAGAAGGGGAGGATCAGAGAAGTCAGAATCAAACAGCCTTTTTACACGATTTGGAGGATTAACCCCTTAGGTTCCACAGAGAGTATGCTTTTCAGTCTGTATATGCTTTATTGCATATACAGACTGATTTTACTCTTGTGGGTTTAGTAACACTTTAAGGACACCTATTTATACATCCCTATTTTCTGGCCTTACCAACATTTTCTGAAATTGGCAGTGGAGGATCGGCACTATCAATTTGTGGCCTTGCCTTTTGGCTACAGTTTTAGGGTTGTTGAGAAATCGGAGTATTGCGGGAAAAGTAATCTTCAGCTGGGTGCTCAACCTCCAGAATTTGGCTATCCTTCTAAAGCAACATCTGGGATAATTAGGCTTAGTAATTGACATGTAGCAGGCGAACATGCTGCTGCCACAGGAAAAAATGTCTGTCTCACTGAGCCAAGGTAGAGTCCCTGAGGTTGTTGGAAAGTCCCTTGATTTGGTTCTGCATGCAGGTGCTGGGGATCATGGTAGCCACATTGTATGTGGTCCTGTATGCCCAGTTTCACATTGGAGCTTTGAAGCTCAATGTCCCATTGTATGGTGCAGACATCAGGGGTCTTTGGGTCGACCTATTCATTTGACTCTCAAGATCAGGTTGACTCTGGACTGTTGAGATATCCACACAGATGATGGATACTGGGTAATCCATGTATCCCATGAATTGGAAGGTCCAAATTATGAATATTAGCCTTTTGTGCTGGGGTGGTGTCCTCGAGAACCTCTCAGTTCAGGCAGTGTGGTTGTCATAAGAGCGGAACTTGTCATCAACATCCTGGCACTTTGGGCGATTTGGCTTATTCTCCTTCATTGGTCTATCTACCCATGGGGGCTTCCCGTCAGTCAGACAATGCCTTGGCTGTTGTATACATCATCTATGAATGAGGAACAAAAAATGGCACTGCCCAGGAAGAAGCGAACCTGATCATGTCTTGAGCAGAACTTTACGTTCTGGTTGTCTTTGCTGTTGACATTCTCGATGTGGAAACTTGGCAGGTGGATTTTCTCAGCCGTCAACAAATGAATCCTTGAGAATGGGATATTCACTAG